ACCAGCAGCAGCAGCAGCAGCAGCAGCAGCTGACGACCAAGAGCGTCAACCTGTATGGACGTTTGCCAGGAGCTCGCCGAGAAGCAGCACGAGTAGCAACAGCAGCAGCAGCAGCAATAGCAGCAACAGCAGCAGCAGCAGCAATAGCAGCAACAGCAGTAGCAGCAGCAACAGCAGCAGCAGCAGCTACAGCAGCAGCAGCAGCTACAGCAGCAACAGCAGCAGCAGCAGCTACAGCAGTAATAGCAGCAGCAGCAGCTACAGTAACAACAGCAGCAGCAACAGCTACAGTAGCAATAGCAGCAGCAGCAGCAGCAGCTACAGTAGCAACAGCAGCAGCAGCAGCAGCAGCAGTCTCTGCCAGCCTGCTGTGGAGACGAGGAGCTTACAGCCCACTCCGTGGCTGTCTCCCAGAGTATCTCCTGCTGCAGATCAGCAGACAGCAGCAGCAGCAGCAGCAGCAGCAGCACACGCTGCTGCTTTGACAGGCCCCTCTCTTCAGCTGCCATTGCGAACCCAAGCTGCGCATGCAGAAGTTGGTGAAAATGGGCAGCAACTGCAGCAGCAACAGAAGCAGCAGCAGCAGCAGCAAGAGCAGCAGCAGCAGCGGAAGCAGCAGCAGCAGCAGCCGTTCAATCCAGCTGCTGCGTCTTCTTCGCTTGACAGCTGTTGGTGGGGAGAGGAGAAGAAGGTGCCTGTTACTGAGTCCCAGGCAGCAGCAGCAGCAGCTGCTGCTGCTGCTGCAGGACTGAGCCGCCCAGTAGTTGAAGATGCTGCTGCTGTGCAGCAGCTGCAGCAACTGCAGCAGCTGCAGCAGCTACAGCAGATGCAGCGGCCGCTGCAGCTGCGTCACCCTGCCCCATTGGTGGAGTGTATAGACAGCTCAGGTGCTGACTGGAGCAGCGCATGGCGGTCTCCCTGCAGCAGCAAAGTAGGTGGTAGTGCTGCTGCTGCTAATTCTGCTGTTGGAGGCTTCTTCTCTCCATCGCCAACAAGTAATAGCTGCCTATACACCCCAATATGCCTGACCCCTACATCGGGTACACCTCTATGGGTGACGCAGCAGGCCTCTCTGCTGCTGCAGCAGCAGCAGCAACAGCAGCAGCAGCAGCAGCAGCGACAGCAGCAGCAGCACTTGGATGCTCATCAAAATGTTCAGACTGCTGTCTTTGAGATGCTTACTCCTAGACGTATAAAGCAGCAGCAGCAGCAGCAACAGCAACTGCTGCAGCAGCGGCTGCACCTGCCGCTGCAGCAGACGGTGCTGCAGCAGGAAAGCCCAGCAACATTTTCTAGTGTATGCTCACCTCGCGTAGAGGACACAGAAGCAGCAGCAACTGCAGCAGAACAGCAGCAGCAGCAGCAGCAGGAGCAAGCGTCTAGCAGCAACCGTCGTTGCTCTTGGCTGCGGAGTCCATTGCGCTACGCTGCAGACTTTATCCGCAGCAGATTTAGCAGCAGCAGCAGCAGCAGCAGCAGCAGCAGAGGGGACGTTTCTTACTGGGATCTTCTTGCCTTTATACAGGACGAAGCCTCTAGTTGCCGAGTGCGCCCTCGTGCTGTTGCTGCAGCAGCCTGTTCTGCAGCAGCAGCAGCTGCTGCTGCTGCTGCTAAAGAACAAGCTGCTGCTCCAGCGAGTCCAGCAGCAAAGCCTACCGCAGCAGCAACACAACCAGCAGCACCAGCAGCACAACCAGCAGCAGCAGCAGCAGCAGCACAACCAGCAGCAGCAGCACAACCAGCAGCAGCAGCAGCAGCAGCAGCACAACCAGCAGCAGCAGCAGCAGCAGCAGCAGCACGACCAGCAGCAGCAGCAGCAGCAGCAGCAGCAGATGCTGAGGGCGTCCCACTATCGGATTATAGGCGGCCTTGTGGGGCCAAGCAGTTAGAGACACTTCCTGTGCTGCTGACAACAGCAGCAGGAGAACCAATTAGTAACGAGCAACAGCAGCAGCAGCAGCAGCAACAGCAACTGCATCTCATGGTGCAGCAGCAGCTGCAGCAGCAGCTGCAGCAGCAACGTACTACAGCAGGTGCATCCCGCGGCATGTATGGCATAAGCCGGGCCAGCAGCATGTATAGCATAGCTGATGGTGTAGAGCCCACAACAGCAGCAGCAGCAGCAGCAGGAGGAGGTTCTGTCCCAACAGTTGCTGCTGCTTCAGCGCCTGCACCAGCAGCAGCAGCAGCAGCTGATCCGCTGAACCTCCACTGCAGCGATGGAATGCATGCGCGAACGTTGGACAGCCCCAGAGGTTTGTACAGGTCGTCAAGGGTGTCTCCAGAGACACTAATGCAGCAGCAGCAGCAGCAGCAGCAACAGCAGCAGCAACAGCAGCAGCAAGGATATGTGGTTAGGAGACGTGCCTCTCAAGGAGACACCGCACTTGACCGTCTTGAATCATCAAGCAGACAGCAGCGCGCTGCGTCACTGCAGCAGCAGCAGCAGCAGCAGCAGCAGCAGCAAAGGCTGTTGCCTGTACAGCATCAGCAACAACAAACTCAACTCCACCGACAGCTGCAGCAACGGATCCAGCAACAGCTGCAACAGCAGATGCGCCTACAGCAGCAGCAGCAGCAACAGCAGCAGCAGCAGCAGCAGCAGCAGGTGGCTGATGGATCTATAAGTTGCCGTCGTCGTCGTTTTGGTTTATCGCAATTTCTTCCATCGAAACCAGAATCATCAACAACAGCAACAGCAGCAGCAGCAGCAGCAGCAGCAGCAGCAGCAGCAGCAACAGCAGCAGCAGCAACAGCAACAGCACCACCCCGATCAATCCCGCACCCTATGGGTTGCACCCCTCGTTATAAAGGTAACAATGATCAAAAGAAGAATCATTATTATAAATATAAGCAGCAGCAGCAGCAGCAGCAGCAACAACAACAGCAACAACAACAGGAAGAAGAAGAGGAAGAAGAAGATGAAGAAGAAGACGAAGAACAAGAAGAAGAAGAAGACGAAGAAGAAGAGGAGGAACAAGAAGAACAAGAAGAAGAAGAACAAGAAGAAGAAGAACAAGAAGAAGAGGAACAAGAAGAAGAACAAGAAGAAGAACAAGAAGAACAAGAAGAAGAAGAAGAAGAAGAAGAAGAACAAGAACAAGAACAAGAAGAAGAGGAAGAAGAAGAAGAAGAAGAAGAAGAAGAAGAGAATCCTGTATCGTCAATACCTGATAGCCAATTAAGAAGTTTATTATGTATTCCTTATAAGATTGAATGTTTAATTTATATTGGTGTTATTCTTTGTCTAGATTCTCTTCTTTATGAGGTAACATTGATGCCTATACAGGCAATACGTTTGCTGCTGCTGCTGCTGTTACGTATATTTTATTATATATATAAATATATATATAATTATTTATTTATTTATTATAATCATCTATTTATTCATTATATTACACCATTTTATTATTTATTTATTATTATTAAATATATTACAACAAGAATTAACAATATTATTACTATTATTTCTTCTTCTTCTTCTTCTTCTGCTGCTGCTGCTGCTGCTGCTGCTGCAAGAACAACAACAATACTTAACAGAAAAGGAGAACAGCAAACTTTTATTATTATTCGTCTTCTTCTTCTATGTAATAAATTTATACATTGGTTATTATTTCCTAAACATACTGCTGCAGCAACAGATGCAGCAACAGATGCAGCAACAGCAGCAGCAACAGATGCAGCAGCAGCAACAGATGCAGCAGCAGCAGCAACAGATGCAGCAACAGCAACAACAGATGCAGCAGCAGCAACAACAACAACAACAACAGATGGAGCAACAACTGCAGCAGCAGGAAGAGAAGGAGGAGAAGAAGGAGGAGGAGAAGGAGGAGGAGGAGGAGAAGAAGAAGAAGGAGGAGAAGAAGGAGGAGGAGGAGGTCGTAAGAGAAGTTATTCTTGTAGTATTCCTATAGATTGTATTTATACAAGAGAATGTTCTCCTCGTAATAATAATGCATTATTTAGATTAAGAGCAGCAAGTTTCTCTTCTTTTCCTCCTCCTCCTCCTCCTTCTTCTTCTTGTACAGCAGCAGCAGCAACAACAGCAGCAACAGCAACAGCAACAGCAACAGCAACAACAGCAACAGCAGCAACAGATGCTACTGCTGTTGGTTCTAGTATAAGAAGAGAAGGAGAAGATAGATCAACAAGAAGAAAAGAAGACAACAACAAGAACAAGAACAACAAGAACAAGAAGAAGAAGAAAAAGAATAATAATAATAATAATAATAATAATAATAATAATAAGAATAAATTATTATTATATAATAATAAGATAAGTATAAATGATATAATAAATATAATAAATACAAGTATAATAATAATATGTATAATAATATTAAATAATAATATAGATATATCTTATTTATATCATATAATTAAGATACAACAATCTTTTATTAAATTATATTTTTTATTTAATATCTTAGAATTATTTGATAAATTATTCAGGAGTATAGGTATTGATTTCCTTGATTATATATATAAATCTTTTATACTTATTATTATACATTATATTAATATTTATATAAGGAGAGGGAGGAGGGGAAGGGGGAGAGGAGGGAGAGGAGGGAGAGGGAGAGGAGGGAGAGGGAGGAGAGGAGAAGGGAGGAAACAGGGTATTCATAGAGGGGATAATTATTATTTTATAAGATATAATAATTGTAATAGGAATAACAACAGAGGGAGAGGAGGGAGAGGAAGAGGAGGAGGGAGAGGAGGAAGAGGGAGAGGAAGAGGGAGAGGAAGAGGAAGAGGAAGAGGGAAGAATATTATTATATATATATATAATAATATTATATATCCTATTAATATTATTATACGTATAATGTTGTTATATGGTGGGGTTGTTATATATGTTATTGTGCATGCAATTATGCATCTAATTAGGGTACTTAGTCTTAATATTGCCATCAATTCATCAGAGGTACATCTTCCTGCTCCTATTCCTGCTGCTTCTGCTGCTGCTGCTCTTGCTGCTGCTGCTGCTGCTCTTGCTGCTCTTGTTGCTGTTGTTGATAGATTAGTACTAGTGTTGTTACTGTTTGTTTGTAACGAATATACATATATATATATATATATATATTTATATATACATATTTATATATGGTTCTCTCTGTCTCTCTCTGCTGCTGCTGTTGCTGCTGCTGCTGCTGTTTGCTGCTGTTTGCTGCAGTCAGCAATGTTTTTGATGTTAGTAACGAATAATTTTGGGGAAATAAAATCATCTGTATTTAAGAAGAATAATAAATATACATTATATACATTAATAGCTGCAGATACAGTAGAAAGATTTCTTCTTTTTTGTGATTCTTTTCTTGTTATTATTATGATCAATTATTATAATAATCAATACTCTAAACATTTATATCCTACAGGAGTTGGTACTTGGCTTGTTAGTCTTATTATTATTCCTCCTCCTCCTCCTGTTGCTGTGTTGCTGTTGCTGCTGCTGTTGTTGTTGCTGCTGCTGTTGTTGCTGATGGTAGTTATGTTCCTGCTGCTGTTGTTGCTGTTGCTGTTGCTGCTGCTGCTGTTGTTGTTTTGCTGCTGCTGCAACTCCTTACTTATAACTGAGTACTGCTGCTACTGTTTGTGTGTATGTATGTGTGTATTTGTGTGTGCTGTTTGCTGCTGTTTGCTGCTGTTTGCTGCTGCTGCTGCTGCTGCTGCTGTTTGCTGCTGCTGCTGCAGTGTGCAGTATTTTTATTAGAAATGTGTGTAGATTGGTTAAAATATATATTCCTTGTTAAATTTAATAAAATACCCGTCAATTCATTCAAACAATACCAAAATGTAAACCCTAAACCCTAAACCCTAAACCCTCATAAACCCTCATAAACCCTCATAAACCCTAATAAACCCTCATAAACACTTATAAACCCTTATAAACCCTCATTAACCCTTATAAACCCTTATAAACTCTTATATATATGTATAGTATAAATCATTATATAAATAAACCCTTATTTTATCATCTTCCTTGTTGTGACTATTCTTTCTATTGGTGTCCATGTTACATTTTTGTAGGGTTTAGGGTTTTTAGGGTTTTTAGGGTTTTTAGGGTTTAGGGTTTTGTGTATATCAGGTATTAATAGCAGATGTATTATTATCACGAGTACCTGCTGCTGCTTCTATTAATAAAAAATTTGTTTATTCTGTTCCTTGTTGGGGTTGTTATGCTTTCTCTCATATACCCACCAGGTACGGTTTAGGGTTTAGGGTTTAGGGTTTTAGGGTTTAGGGTTTAGGGTTTAGGGTTTTAGGGTTTGTAATTTAGAGTTTAAGGGTTTTAGAGTCTCAAGAGGTTCAGGATTTATAGGGTTTAGGGTTTAGGGTTTAGGGTTTAGGGTTTAGGGTTTAGGGTTTATGTTTTTTTTTTTTTGTGTATAGACGAATTGGTTTTATATCGATACCGATTGTTACTCTTATTAGCTGCGTACTACCCAAGTAAGAAACTTGCTGCTGCTGCTGCTGCTGCTGCTGCTGCTGCTGCTGCTGCTGCTGTTGCTGTTGTATGATGTTGTTGTTGTTGTTGCTGCTGCTGCTGTTGCTTCTCCTTTGCTTGCTATTTATTATGCTATATTCTTTCTGTTGCTGCTGCTGCTGCTGCTGTTGCTGCTGTTGCTGCTGCTGCTGCTGCTGCCGCAGGGTGAATTGGGGTTCTTTATCTGTCATAGCTTGTGCCGCGGTAGTATGGTTGTGTCTTCTAGCCTTAAAGGTACGTACACCCCAATTCTGCTGCTGCTGCTGCTGCTGCTGCTGCTGCTGCTGCAGTTGCTGCAGTGTATTTCTTTTGTCTATATATACCTATTTGCTGCTGCTGCTGCTGTTGCTGTTGCTGTTGCTGCTGCTGTACAGGTCCTCCTTTCTATTGTTTTAGTTGCTTTTGCTGTAAAAAGAAAAAAACAATTGGCAGAAATAGAAGAAGAAATGACGAAAATTAGTGGGCAGTAATTCCTGCTGCTGCTGCTGCTGCTGCTGCTCTTTTTGCTGCTGCTGCTGCTGCTGCTGCAGCAGCAACAGCAGCAGAGGTTTAGGGTGGGGTTGTTGTTATTTCCGTCTTTTTAGCCTTTAGTTTCTTTTATTAATAAAATAATATTATTAATAATTATAATTAATATAATTAATTATTATTATTAATATAATTAATTAATTAATTAGTATTTATTATTATTTATTATTTGTATTCTTTTTGTGGGGTACTTTTGCTGCATGCATTGCTGCACTTTTGCTGCTGAGGGTCCCCTTCTATCCTCCTTTATTGCGGTGTATACACACTCCTATCTGCATGCATGCATGCATGCATGCATTTATGAGCGCATGCATGCATGCATGCAAATGTGCATGCATGCATGCATGCATGTAAAAGCCTGAGGGCATCTGTACAGACACCCGGTGCATGCATAGAGGAGACACAAGAAGGAGACCCTTTTGCTGCTGCATGCATACAGCAGCAGTTTATCCTCTTGGGTCTTTTTTTTTTTTTTTTTTTTTTTT